GGGTAGAAAAGTTGGCGCTGGCGGAATTTGCCTACAACAATGCCGAGAATGTGTCCACAGGGATGAGCCCCTTCTTGGCTAATTATGGGTGTCATCCCAGGGCTTTCCCAGGTGGAGAAGGGGAGAGATGGAGCGCACCGGCAGCCGAGCATTTTGTAGAAGAAATGGAAGCAATCCACCGTCAGCTCCAACTCAACTTAGAAAGGGCGAAGGAAGAATACAAGAGGCAGGCAGACAAGAACCGAAGGGAAGGTGAAACCATAAGGGTTGGAGATAGGGTGTGGCTGTCAACCCGAGGGTTGCCGGTCAAAGGAGGTTGTAAGAAATTACGACCCAGGAGGTTGGGTCCCTTTGAGGTCATTCAACAGGTCAACCCAGTGGCTTTCAGGCTCCGGTTACCCAACCACATGAAACTGCACCCAGTATTTCACAGGTCGTTACTGTCACCGTACGAGGGGGGACGAGAAGGGATGGCCACTCGGGACCGGTCATAGAAGAAAGAGAATGCAGCAGTCATGTGGCAGAAATCCTTGATGCCAGGTGGAAGGGGAATCAGGTGGAGTATTTGGTAGCGTGGGAAGGAGAACCGGAGTCAGAAAACACGTGGGTAATGGCCAAAGATATCAATGACGAGGTATTGATAGAAATGTTCCATCAAAGGTTCCCGAGGAAACCTCAGCCTGTGGAGAGGTTCCGGAGGGAATACTTTGGGACCACTGAGGAGGAGGAGGAGTTGGAAGGATTCCCAGAATCGGAAGGGGAAGGGGAGATGGACTCGGAGGAGGAGGAGTGCTTCGAGACCAGGAACCGCAACAGGTGGAGAGAAGTGTTCGAGACATCGGAAGATGAAGGAAGTTCATTCCGGGGTTTTGCCTCCTCACCGCCCGTAGAGGAGGGGGCGAGAGGGGGTGAAGGGGGCCCTGGAGGGGGAGGTGGATGTCAGGGAACTGCCATCGGAAGGAAGGGAGGTGAAAGGACTCAGACAGGTTGGAAGAGATTCAGCAGCTGAAGAGGGAACCAGCAAGGGGAGAGAAGCTGAACTGAGGGAGGTGAAAGGGCTCAGACAGGTTGGAAGAGACTCAGCAGCGGAAGAGGAAACCAGCAGGGGGGAGAGAAGCTGAACTGAGGGAAAGGGAGCTGGGGGATGGCTCAGAGATACTTCCAGCGAAAACAGTGGTGAGGTTTCCGGACCTCCTGTAGCGACACCCACTCTCGCCGGAAACTGTCACGCAGAGAGTCCAGAAGACGTGTTTCCGTTAAGGAGCTTTTATGTTGGAAGCGATTACGAAAGCAACCACTGTCGGAATCTTCTAGTGACTAGAGGAGCCATGTCAGAGGGGCTCAGTCACAGACAGAGGTTTGTGGACTTGAACAAACTCTGAGGGAATACGATTT